CAAGAGTAGATAATAACACATGTGTTATTATCTACTCTTGATATATATATATAGCTCTCACAGCGATCGGGTTGGTGATTTGCAAGTATTTGTTACACGTATGTTGCGGTTTCAAGGCGACTGAGACAGATCGGAGAAAACTGCGCTGACATATAATAATTAAGCCACACGAGGTCGCGCAACAACGACAACACAAATAAATAATAACATAATTACAGTGGAACCAGCGTACTGAGGCCGAGATAGACCTTATCTGTTCCACTGCCGCTGACGCTGAGAGGGTCTATGTCCCCCAGGGTACTATCGGAGGGTAGGCCTACTCTGGGTACGGTTCAATATATCGAAACGTACCCTGGTACTATCTAATATGCCGGACCGTACCTCGCCTACTCCACTAACGAGTCTAGGGAGTCGCCTACGCCTACTCCCTAACCCTAACCCTATCAGATAGTTACCAGGGTACGTTCCGGTATACCGGACCGTACCCAGGGTACCCTCCGATAGTAAGTACCCTGGGGGACATAGACCCTATGAGCGCCGCTGACGACAACATCTAAGCGCACACCTCCCTGCGTTATTATTCACGTAACGGTGGGCTACGCAGAAAACTATCCAGATCGATTCCATGAACCAACCGACTGCTTTGCCATCTTCCTCTACTGATGATGAGACGTACATTGTACTAAATATTGTTACTAAATAAATTCATCGTGGGGGTGATCCATCTATCGGTTTTGCTACTCGACGTTCTTAAATCATTGTGCGCCATAAAAAATCATCTTATCATTTCGTTAACCAAATTCAAATTCTGCCTAAACTGCTGAAGTGCTGTGGTCAGCTCGCGCATTGACTGCTAACGCCATCTGTTGATGACATATACAGACTCTTACAATCTATTTTGCAAATCTAAGTCCAAAAGCATTGAGAGAGTGAGAGAGCGAGCAAACGAGAGAGAGAGACCATATTATAGACGACACTCGCTTATAAAGAACACTTTTGGCGTTTCTCTGAAGTGGCCGCTATTCAGCGAAACCACCTCTATAAAACGGCCACCTGTCTATAAAGGACACTTTATGGGAAATTTCCAATGAGTGACCCCTATATGCAGCTATGGCTGTATTTCCTATTTCCACAACATACGAAAGTGATGGAACAACGAATTTACTTGCCAAATTTAAGCTGCCAAAACATTAACTAACCCCATGTATATGATCATACAAAAAATAAATCACATACCGACTATTAAAACTCAGATACTCGGTTGCAAGTACTAAATAAATTACATCTACACGACCTTCTATTGAAATATGTACAGCGTATGATTATGTGGTTACGTCAGTCGCTACTACGAAAGCGTCCAGCAAATATCGTTAGGGCATGATTACGACCAAATCACTGTGTTTACAGCCAAACACGAGTTTATAAATAAACTACATCAAAAAAAGGCATTCTACTCTCGTATATATATCGTATCATCACATTACACATGATAGTATTTACTTAAGAGTCCGATTCTTCACTGATCGATTACAATTTATGATATCAATGATACTAATAGTGGCATATAACGTATGCCCACGCCGAGTGCCCTACTCACTCACTAGATGGCGCTCGGAGAAATGCAATAATAATAGCGGGTGTCACCAACTTTTTCGAGACTAAAATCTCGTATTTTCCTACCAAGGACATATAGAGCAAGAGCTTGGAATATGTACACATATCACAACACTTACACTGATAAAGTAATAGGAGGGTTATAACACAAGATACACACACTTAATACGGTATCGAACGTACGTATCCCAATTAGAACGTAAGGTAATTCTGATAGCACCCTTACCATGTGAAACAGCACAATGCAGCGCAATATGCGCAGAGCAAAGACATAACGAAACCTCTCTTTCACTCTATGTTTAGAGACCGTAACCGAACAAAACATCGCGACAGTGCTGAAACATTTTATTTAATGTTGCGCACGCAATGATGAAGTTTTACTGATCGAGAAAAATCACCAGCGACCTTGAGTCTCGGAAATTCTCCACAAATTATTTGTTACGATACACCCACTCATTCACGCGACAGTCACTAGTTCCTTCCTCTATGACTAGGCTCCTGATAATAAAAAAACAACAATAACAACAATTCAAACCCCCCAATCAATGTAAAATCATGCGTATTCTAAATCTCTTGCTCCACATGCTTTATGGTGACGTCACTTCCCATATTTGTTATACAATATATATAAAAAAGCGGACACACGATCAGGCAAAGTTGCACAGTAAGGAACAACAACAACGAGTGGCAAGAAACACCGACTGAAAACAGCCAGTAGATCGCCCACCAGTCTCCACACGCGCCTCGCCCACGGCAAACGACATGCAGAGATAATAAGAGTGTTATAAGGAGAACAAAGCACAAAACTCCACTTCGCCCCCTCCCCCACTACCAGCCCAACCCCCCACCCACCCACACAGAATGATCATGGCAGCAAATCAAACGCAATGATGAAGATAAAATCGTCCAGTCTGATAAACAAGGTGGCAGCACCATCAGTTCGAAAAACCGCCTGTGTCACTGAATGAAATCTGAACGCACCCTGGTGTCGTTTTTACAAAGCTTTACCAAGGAAATTTAATCTAAAATACGCTATCAGAGCCATGGAAAGACACGCGACTTATTTGCATGGCAACGGCAAATAAGCAGGAGGCAGCGCGAGACACTCAACACGAAGGTTAATGATAACACTTTCGTGTCAAGTTCACTCAGCATTGACGAACACCCAAGCAATTCATCTGGGTGCCCGTCGCTCAATTAGCAAACTCAGATACTTCAGCAAGTGGTACTGATGCTGCAGTGATGCTGCAGTGATGCTGCACTGCAGTGATGCTGCACGGTACTGATGCTGCAGAGCCAACGCTGCAACACACGCTGCTGCCAACGCTGCAACACACGCTGCTGCCAACGCTGCAACACACGCTGCTGCCAACGCTGCAACACACGCTGCAACACACGCGATGTCTACTGCGCCCACGTGTAACTCCAGCGCAGCAGCATACATTGTATCATATACGTATTTAATTCTATAATACGCATGTATAAATAGCAGGATGGGTTTTATGTGTATATATATGTGAGCTAACGCACTCACCACGCTTCCGCTGATGTGGGGCAGAAAGGTTACGGGAAAGTCAGTCAGCCCGAAGCCATCGCGTCATCACCATGACAACCATGCTGTCAAGTCATCACCATGACAACTAGCGTTATGTTACGTCATCACCATGACAACTAGCATTGTGTTACGCCATCACCATGACAACCAGCATGCTGTCACTGTCTTCACCATGACAACACGCATTACGTTAAATCATCACCATGACAACTAGCATTATATCATCTCATCCCCATGACAACTAGCATAGCGTCACGGTCTTTACCATGGCAACTAGCATTATATCACCTCGTCACCATGACAACCAGCATAGCGTCACAGTTTTTTCCAGGTCTTTCGACTAGTTGGTGCAGTTTCTGGTTGTCCGGCGTGGCGTCTGGTCACGATAGGATCACTGCACGCACTCGGCTGGCCATTCCAGGCAACACGAATACTTCTACGTGTTACTTCAGCCACACGAATTCCGCTAACTGGGTGAGGGGGCAGCTCATTGCGAGTTTTTAGTCGCAAAAGCTTCAGTCCGACACGCTTGATTGCAAACGTATCGTTCGCGTTACAGATATAACATACGACCACAGCTCTTATAACAGCTTATATTAACAGCTTATACGCGTTTCTTGTGTTACGACATCACAGTAACTAGTTCACAGGGAGGAGGGGGGGGATAACGCGATAGAGCGTGAGATATTCCATGCGCGTGTAAATCGTGTGAGCATGTTGTGTAGGGCTCAGAAATGTTAAAATGTGAAATGGTTTTGACTATATTCTGGAGGATTGCGTATATCGCCTCCCTCTCTTCGCTGGTACAAAGCCAAGATGACGAGCATATCTACATTAATGAATAGATCAATAAACTGTGCGTTAGTTTTTTATGTAATCTGACGCTATTCTAGGGCCTAATAGCGTTCCATAGAGACAATTCTGTAGTATAAAAACGGATAGCAACGTTTTCACGCGTTTCTGATTGCGGAACATTGAAATTCAGATGGATACACACAGAATCTATAGACACCTCGTATTATTAACGTCTTACCTACATGACAATTGTCATGCATTATAAGCTTCTTATGCTAGGGGCACACGAGCGATTTTTATCGCCCGATCGCGGCGATTAAAATCGCCAGCGAATTTAATCGCCCGATCACGAAGGGGAACACAGAGCGAATTTAATCGCCCGATCACGAAGGGGCACACGTAGCGAATTTGAGAGCGTACGCGTACGCCACTCGACAGAATTTTCCATCGATCATGTAATCGGTACAAATTGGCGAACAGGTAGAGGGGTGAGTGTAGGGTAGAGGGGTGAGTGTAGGGTAGGAGGTAGAGGGGTGAGTGTAAGGTAGAAGGTAGAGGGGTGAGTGTAGGGTAGGAGGTATTCGGAGCATATGCAGTCTAATTATTCTGTGATTTTCACCCTGTGATTTTCCCCGCTACTGACCGGAGCATATCAAGCTGGTTTGATATCTACCGATAAAAACTGCACGGATAAAATCGGACCGTAGCGTGTGCGGTGTTCAATGGGAAAACCCGGTTACACGGGCCAATCAGCATCGAGCAAAAACCACATGATCAACAAAATGCCGCGCAGTTTTTTTGGGACGACGAAAAGGAAGCATTACTTGTTGATATGTGGTCGCAGCATAAATGTCTCTATTATATGACAGAACATGATCTGAATACAAAGACCGCAATAAGAGGTCACATGCGTTAAAAACTATCGCTGAAGCTCTTCATAACGCCCTAAAATTTACGATTAATCATAACCCAACACTCGCCACGCCCTATAACATGCTTAATTCGACCCCCCACCTGTAGACGCGGCTGAGCGTACCTGACGAAAGGCGGGAAGCCACACAGTAGGATGAAGGCAATCACCCCGGCCGCCCACACGTCCACGGGAAGACCGTACCTGCAACGCAGCGACGTCGCGCAAACATGAGAACGTCTCTACGCGTGTAGCGACGTCGCGCAAACATGAGAACGTCTCTACGCGTGTAG